TTTAACAATAGCAATTGTGAAATCATTTTAGATCAACCAAGTCGCCACTAAAGAAAGATCATTAAGATAAAAATGTGTTGCAATTAGGTCATTAGGGAAAAAAAAGCAATATTAAACAAGATGTGAACCATGAGATTAAATTTGGTGGATCAAATAGAGAGTTACAAGTGGAGATTGTGTAACAAGAGCATAATTTTTTCGTTATTGGTGTGCATATTTAGACTTGGATTATAAATTGGGTTCCGTACGCTTTCTGTTTTAGTTGGAGTATTGGTAATATATACTTTCTCCATTCTTTTTTTTAAGTGGAATGCTTGTGATTTTGCACTATTCATACACACTCTTTCACTTGATTGTCTTTTGTGATTTATACAACATAGTCATGCGAGGTCTTGTTAAATTCGTTTCGATAACATATGGGCTTGAATGTTGGTTTTCTGGAAAGACCATTCAACCATGTATCCGTCTTTTGACACTCATGAGCCATATCACTTTTCGTGGACCAATCTTGAGTAATCAGATTCTGGTCTTTTATGGGCTTGAATGTTGGTTTTTTTGAAGGACCATTCGACCATGTTCGAAAGATGGGAGTAGCAAAGACGTGTATGAGATGGATGTGTGGGCACACCTTAAGGAATATAATTTGCAATGAAGATATTTGGAGGAAAGTTGTAGTTGCCGATAAAGGTAAAATGAGGGAGAACCAATTACGTTGGTTATGTGAAACGAATACTAGAAGAAACACCATTGGAGAAAGTAGAAAGGTTGGATCATGAGAGTCTTAGAAGTGGTCGAGGGAGACTTAAGATGATTTGGATGAAAGGAATTAAAAATAATATGAAGAAATTGGGTTTAAAGGAGCGCACTTGAGAGAAGGGGTTGGAGGGAGGGGATCACAGTTGACCACCACTGGAGATGACCGTTGAGTTGGTTTATATAGATGACCAATCTTTGGGATTAAGGCTTTGACATTGTTGTTTTTTTTCGTCATTATAAGAATTTTTTTTCCTTAAGTAAATGATAATCAAGCTATTTGTTGATGAATTATACACCGTGCCTTTATGGTTACTGTTGATGTTGGTAAAGCATTAATAGGAGAAGATAGATGAGAAATACTCATTAGATAATGGGAAGATGATGACAAGGCATCAAGGATAACAATGGATTGTTATTGAAAGATAATTATTTGATACTCCTCCCGTCCATAAAAGACTGCCCTAAACCTCATTGTCACTTTTTTGAGAAGCAAGTGTAAATTTGTGCACATAGGTGGACACAATTATCTATGTTAAGCGATAGAGAGGGTAAGTGGGGTTGCAAGTGGAAAAATTTACCAATTAAGGTATGTAGCAGTCTTTTAGGGAAATCCATTTTTAATATATGGGGCAATATTTTAGGGACGATGGGAGTAGTAAGTTTAGGATAAATGTGGAAAATCCCATCAACTTTTATAATTGAATGTCTTGTCTGTTGTTTTTGCATTTTTTCAAAGATTTCTTTAATGTGGAGGAATGACATGTGGAAAAAGAGGATTCTGTTTTACAATCATTAGTGTTAATGAGAATGCTGGAACTAATAAATTGATCAACAAACCGAAACTTTACATATAACGAACCCAAAATGTTTGGCAGTCAGTATTTAGCATATTGCATACCCTGATAAAACACAAAACAAGTCTGTTGAGAGACTAATTTTCCCTACCAATTCCGCGTAATGGCAGATACAGGCCAGATAAAACTGCTCCTCAGCCCATCTATGCAAAAACCTGGTTTAGATACATTGTGATTTCTTATCTTTGTTTTGAGCTGGTAATCCAATGTCTTATTGTTTATTCTGTTTTTACATGAATTAAATATCAGTGGTTATTTGTTGCATATTTGAACTTAAATTTTGATGGAACATATCTCTATTGAATTTTTTTGTTGATGTTAACGCCTGTTTGTAATTGTCAGGCACTGGACTTGCTGCTGTTTTTATAAATATCTCCGTTGAAAACTTTGCTGGGTGGAAATTCGCATTGACATTTGCCATAATTCAGAAATCATATCTGGCTGGACTACTAATTTATGTGCTTTTCAATTTAGTGCTAGTTTTTTCCTCTGTATATATAGTTACCCATTTTGCGCCAGCTGCAGCTGGATCTGGTATTCCAGAAATAAAAGGCTATTTGAATGGTAAGCAGTTCGTATCTCCGTTTCCTACAAAATCCTACCGGCATCTCATCATGTTAATAAATAACTTACAATTTTGAATGCTTTTTACAGGAATTGATGCCCATGGCATACTTTTATTTAGAACGTTAGTTGGAAAGGTATGAAGTATCTCTTTACCATATTCCAGTCTTTTATTCTGCTGACCAGATTTTAGATCTTCTTACCATAATCCTATCATTTTCTCTTCTTGTTGATTCAATTTTTTTGAAGATCTTTGGAAGCATTGGTTCAGTGGGAGGTGGATTAGCCCTCGGCAAAGAAGGCCCTCTTGTTCATATTGGTGCTTGTATAGCTTCTCTCCTGGGACAAGTATGTGTTAATACATCTATAATTGTGCCCCCCCTCCCCCCCTCCCCCTAGTACTTTCTTACCATACTCCATGCTTTGTATAATTGCATTCACCTCTATTTGCTTGTAATTGGGCCTGATAATCATTCTGTGGCTGGATTGGTAAGAATTTGTCATGGAAGTGAATATTTTGCTGTATTTGCATATATTTTTTCCTCTTACAATGCAAGGCACTTTAACTTGTAGCATCTCTTTAAATTAGGTGCAAACAAGGGGTCATATTTAATAAAATATTCCAGATTAGTGGAAACAATATTGGCAGTGGCAGTTGAATCATATATAAGTAGTTGGAGGTCATGCAAAGAAGAGTTCTGCTCTCACCCAAAAAAAAAAAAACACCCATATGTTAAGACCAAATACATTGATGAAAGGCCTTAGCAAGTATAATGGGATTTTGGGAAGGGGAACGTTTAGGGGACTAGGCTTAAGGGCTGCAGAATTGAAATTCAGAATAGTAAACTGAATGATAAATCATCTTTCTCACATGTTCGAAACAGATATAGAGAAGAATGGTGCAAAGAGATAGGGAGAGCTTTTACATATACAAAATATATAGAGAGAAGGGGTGTTATGTGGAGGGGGGAGGGGGAGTCACTGATATATTAGGATCACAAATGACTATAGTAGAAGCTTAGACATGCATGGACATCTTTATTCTTAGGCATGTGAACAAGGGACTTAGGGCTCTAGGGCACTCATTTATTTACTACAATTAATTGAAAAACAATAGTGAAAGGTGTGCATTTGCATTGCAGTTAAGGATGTCAGTGTGGTGGGTAAAATAGGAGACCTGCCCCATCCTCGCCCGGGTCTTGGTTTGGCAGGTGATGGGGCAGGGATGGGGATAAAAAACATACCCGCCATGGGTGATGGGGCAGGGGTGGATTTTAGCTTGTCCCCGCCCCACCCACCCCACTTCGTACCCTCCCTATCCTTGCCGCCCCACCCACCCCACTTTGTACCCTCCCCATCCTTGCCGCCCCACCCACCCCACTTCGTACCCGCCCCATCCTCGCCCGCCCCACCCACCCCACTTCGTATCCGCCCTATCCCCACCCGCCCCACTTCGTACCCGCCCCATCCCCACATCCATATATTTTTAAAAGCAAAATTATACACTTTTATATTATTTAAAAAAAAATTATGTAAAAAAAAATAGTAAATATAATACTTTGTAATACACTTACATTATAAACAAAAAAATGTGTAATATTAACAATAAATTTTTCTTTTTGCAATCTTTATTAATTATGAAGGATTGTGTATTTGGGAGACGAGGATTAGGCGGGTCTTAACTGGGATTAGGTGGGGGTGGATATCCAAGTGGGGGGTGGGGCGGGGATGGTTTTGGAGTTGTACTCACCTTAGTTTTAAAAAGGCGCGCCTAGGCGCAAGGCACAATGAGGCTCTAGAGTTGGCACCTTAGCTCTTTGAGGCTCAAAGACCTACAAAAGGCGCGCACCTTGCGCTTTTTTCTAGGCTGCTTCTTGCACCTTTGTGCCTTATTTTGCGCTTTATGTTTTAAAGCATCAATAGCTATTGTGTAAGTTTATTTTTCCTAAAGTATACCATGAGACTTTGTTATGGACGGGTTTTCTTCAATTCTAGTGGAGAGAGAAATCCCATAGCCTATAATTCGATTTGAAGAACTTTTGTTATCGATCACATATCCCTTTCATCTTTTCTCACAATTTCATTTTTACACGTATTTAATAGAAATTATTACTTCCTCCGTTCTTTTTTTATTGCACCATGAGTGATTTCACGCTTGCCAATGCATTATTTTGGCTATTAATATCTTTAATTATACTTTATAAAAAAATTACTCCCTTTGGTTTTTTTTTTTGTTTTTTTTTATAAGCTAGAGTTGGATTTGCTCATTTGCCGAGAAACAACTTTGACAATCAATATCTTTAATTAGAGGCTAGTAAAAGTTATTAAAAAATTAATTTATAAAAGTAGACATTATGACAAATCTAGCATGTTATATGATCATATTTTATGCTCCCTTCGTTCCTGAAAGTTCGACTCACTTTGTATTTGCGCGGTATCCAATGAAAATCTTTGACCATGAATATCTTCGGCTATGTGTAAGTGAAAATTATAAAAAGTTGATATTTGAAAAATTTATAATAAGGGGAATCTAATAAGATCCCATATGCTAATTTATTTATATTGTATAAGTCATTAAATGTGGTCAAAATTATTTTATTTTGACCCCATGAATGGTAAGTGAGTCGAATTTTCAGAAATGGAGGTAGTGTTATATATTGGTAAAAATATTAACTCAATGATGACATTTGAATAGTAGAAAATCCTAACTTTAGCTTATAAAAAAAAAAAAAAACGGAGGGAGTATAAAAATTTGATATTTGAAAAGTAGATTTCGAGACGAATCTAACTAGACCCCACATGACTATGTTTTTCTTTATGCATAAATCACAAAAGATGGTCAAAGAAGATTATGTGAATAGTGTAATAGTCCTTATGGTGCAATAAAAGAAAAACAGAGGAAGTATTTCTTTTCTATATGAATAAAGTGCGTCTCACCTACAAAAGGTGCGCGCCTTCGCCTTGCGCCTAGGCTCCAAGGACTTTTTGCGCCTTGGTGCGCCTTGTGCCCTTTAAAACTTAGACTACTCGCCGCGGTGGGGATGAGGATGAATTTTAGACCCGCTGCGGGGATGGGGATGGGGACGGGTATGAAAATTTTAGGTGGGGATGAAGATGGGAAGGCCAACATTCGCCCCGCCCATCCCCGCCTCATTGACATCCCTAATTGCAGTTAGGGCTTAGGGTGGGATGGCCCTCCTTAGGGTATACTGGAGATTGAAGGTGACTCATCTTATCTGTCATTGTTGGCTGCATTAGTGCATTAGGTTTTCTTGTTTTGGGATTTCGGGTCATTCCAACGTTTCTAGGGTTAGACTAGCATTATTGACAGATTAGGATTGAATTGAGTGCATCTCTTGTAACTTCGGGCTTCATAATCATTGTATGAAAGTTGTGCCTAGGCGTGAGGTGATAAGAGGTCAAGCGCCTTTCTTAGCTTGGGAAAGGCACACTGAAAATTAATTAAATTGTTATCAAGAATGCCTCCCCTAATGACCCTTGCCTGCATGTGGTTTGAAATAAACCTAAATTTTGACTAGATCTTTGGCTATCTTTAAAAACACGTTGGTTCTTTTATCATTGTTTTTCTATAAATTTTCACGAAATTGTTAAGACTATTGCATTGAGTTTTTGTTGATGGCAACGAAAGGATGAAAATTTATGGCTACCTCTCTTTTGTGCTACGGTTTTGGACTTGTGAGATAAGGGAATCTTTGTTTTCTTTGAGATTGAGATAATGCAGTGTACCCGATCCTATGTTGGACTAAATTGATCTGCCAAAATTGGCTGTGTAAGCTACTATGTTGATGTTGCATAGTTTAATCACTAGTCTGTCATACAGGTCATATTTATGTTGTGCTTTGACTTGTATTTTTGAAGCCTTATATTTAACTCAAACTTTTGATGCATGATTTCAGGGTGGATCTACAAAATACCATTTGAGTTCAAGATGGCTTCAAGGTTTTAATAGTGATAGAGATCGTCGTGATCTTGTAAGTATATTGACGTATAAATAACCTTTATTTCATGAATTGTTCCTTGTTTATCTGGTGTCTACTTTTCTTTGAACCATTTAAGTAACGCGAGCATGATATTTGTACCACTAATTGCTTCATTCTTCTTTGTTCCTGGTTATTTATAACTCTACTTGGGTGTAAATAATTCCTTTATTTTTTTTTTTTTCCAAATAACATTTTAGCCACATAACTTTGTGATCATGTTTTATACTGGTATCGTGGTTGACAATTGTGGTAGTTGTGTTATGTGGATGAAGAGTTGGGAGAGCAGATAGACAGTGAGGGAGGGAGACATGGGAGGACATTAATTGGTGTCAACAAATGGGATCCTTAGTAATGATTGTTTGTTGTGGTAGTTGGTTTATAATTAAACTAGTGACTACAAAACCATAGCTATATGCAATGATATAGAGAAGAAAGAAGTGGGGAACTAAACAATCAGGAGGTGGGCTTGGAAGCACCCATTAGCCATGGCTAAAAGAAAAATGACAGTGGACTTGAGAGTTGCTAAATATATGAATTAAGTTAACCCTGATATATATAGGATTGGAACTAATTGATGCAAGCCTCCAAGGTGCTCTCCAAAATATATATGGCCACTAATTGAGATTCTCTCTCTCTCTCTCTCTCACTCTCATCCTAATTGACCTATTTTCTTCTCCTCTAAAATTTAATGCCCACCTCTTTTATATGTCGAACTTTTGAAGCTTTAGGTATAAAGATAGTGGCTAGAGAAAAGAGATTGATAGCTTGATAGGGAGAGAGAAGGAAATGGTTATGAAGGATGTGAAAGAGACTGAGTAAGTTATGGCTCTTTTATTCCTAAAATACATTGGTGGGTAGGACCTTTGAGTTTACTAGATTGTGTGCCTCAATTTGCCTGTTTAAACCATTTTCCCACTCTGCCTTACCCTTACCCCTTCGTTTACATATTAATCGCAATTATAATGTAGAAAAGGTCCTATATTTCTGTGAAAGAAAACCTTTTCTATGTGATTTGGTGACTAAGTAGAAATATTTTGGGTACGCTTATTTGAAATGCATAATAGACTATAAAAACATTTTCACTCTGTTAATACCGTGACATCTGAAAATACTAAATACTGTATGTGCAGCTTTGCAATTATAATCGCGTTGCAACTTCAGATTCGTGTTATCAAACACTGCAATATTGTCAAGTTTAATGGTTGTAGGACATAGCACATTGGGCTGGTTTTGTAAGGTGCACGAATGGGGGAAATGGAATGGGATTTTGTTTTATTTGTGGCTGTCTCGTAGCAGCTCATGAGTAATAGAATGTTGGTTGGTTGGGGCTATTTGATTGACCAAGCTTAGAATTTATGTAACTTGATTTGTTGAGATACTTGAAGAATAGTAAATCAGTAATCCAACTATACCCACCTCAACTGGGGATGTCAGTGGGTGGGTCAGTAATCCAACTATACCCACCTCATCTGGGGATGTCAGTGGGTCGGTTTAGTGGAGACCTGCCAGGTTGGGGTGGGTGAAGGGGTGATGGGCATAAAAAAAACCATATACTCTGTGGGTGGTATGGATATACGGTGTAACTGCCCTAAGTGTCTACTACTTTTCTATACATCTTTATTTCTTACGAAACATATCATAAATTAATTTTTCTAGAACTATTTAAAACCAGCCATTTTTTTTTCCAAAGGATTGTGTTTGTACTCTTATGTAATTATTTTGGTTGAAATTAAAATTTTGATTTAGTTATGCAAAGTGGACCTTGGATGGGTAACATGGGAGGTGGGGTTGGTAAGGGGAATAATAGGCAAGTGTGAATACCCAAGTGAATGATGGGGCCAGGGATGGTATGATTTTTGTGCCTGTCGGGATTTTGTACTCGTCTTGGATGAAAGGGGGGAGGGTGATATGGCGATGGAAGGACCAACGTCCTCATTTGTCCCAGCCTGCCTCATTTGAATCCCTCCTTAAATAGCGGAAACACTATTTTCATGTTTGTCTACAGCAGAGGCATGTTCTCTCTTAGAAAACCTTGCAAACAAGTCGTTCGTACCAGGTTAGTTTTCCCCAGTTTACATCTAAGTTAACCACCCTTCTTAACTGTGGACTGTGAGAATTGAGGGCTGCAGGCAAATGCAAACCAATCTCATTGCTGTAGCAAAGCATTCCCTTTTTCTCAATAGATAATGCTTATCCCCTTTCAACCAGAAGAATTGAAAATTCAATGGTTGGCACTTTGCTTGTTTTCAAATGCTAATTGGTATAATTCTGGTTGTTCTGGTAGGCTTGATGAGAAGCAACCTCCAATTGTTGCTGTTCTAATTATTGAGCTCATAAACAAGAGTTTGAGGGATGTTTTGATCAAAGGCTCCATCCCTTTGGCTAGTCTACATACTCCCTCCGTATTTTATTACTTGCTCCATTTCTCCATGCGCGGAGTTTTATGAGAAATAGTAGAAAGTAATAAAATATGAAGGAAGTGAGGTTGGTGGAAGAATAAAGTATGATAGTTGGGAGGAGAGAGAATATGGAAATATTAAATTATGATAGTTGGGGGTCCATTAGGAGAGATTAAATTAGTAAAAAATATTGTGAAAGCTTTCCAAAAAAGGAAATGGGGCAAGTAATAAAATACGGCCGCAAAAGGAAAGTGGAGCAAGTAATAAAGTATGGAGGGAGTATATGATAAATATTTTCCTAAACCATATAATTTTAGGGAACTTTATGAGAAAACTGACTTTCAAAGCTATTCCATCCTTAAGTAGTTTATAGCAAAGAGAAGAGTAAAGCTTGTCTTGTTCTTGTATTTGTACATAAATGATACATACCAATTCATGCTTTTACAAGTGCTGTGAATACTGCTTGTGATCATGCACTATCTGGCTAAAACATCTTAAATCTTTGTATAACCAGATAATGATTTTCTTGTCTTTGCTGTTCCTGCTCCTCTGATATACTCCCTCCATTCCTTCTTGTTGTTCCTATATGGAATCATTTTGTGAGACAAAAAAAGTTAAAAGTAGAATCAACAAAAAGATCAGAGAGAGTGGTAGTTAAGTTTTTTATTATTTGAATTATGTGTATATTAGTCATCCTTACTAATGAGTTTACTTTATGTCATATTTTGAAAAGGTGACTTGTGGCTGTGCAGCTGGAGTTGCAGCTGCTTTTAGAGCTCCTGTTGGAGGTGTGTTGTTTGCACTTGAGGAGGTTACATCGTGGTATAATAATCTTCTTATCTCCTGATTGCAGTCATATCCATGGTTATGTAATATTTTTAGATGGTTTGCATCTCCTTTCCTGATCTCCATCTACTTATGTAGTATATATTATTTTATTCTTGTTTCTCTCTTAAAGGTGGAGAAGTCAGCTTATGTGGCGTGTCTTTTTTACTTCTGCTGTTGTTGCGGTTGTTGTACGTACTGCAATGTCATGGTGTAAGAGTGGGAAATGTGGACACTTTGGTGCTGGTGGCTTCATAATATGGGATATTTCAGAGTTAGAACTTCAATTTCTCTCAGCTATTCTTTTATCAATTCCTACTTTTGTCTGCAGGTTTCTAACCAAACCTTTTTTTAACAGTGGTCAAGAGGATTACTCATTTGCGGAACTATTGCCAATGGCAGTTATTGGGGTGATCGGTGGTCTTCTTGGTGAGTATGTGCATATTTTATTTATCCTATTTGTTCCATATTCTGTATGGGACAGGATTCCTTTTTTTTTTTTCATCATGTGACAGCTGCTGAAATTTCATAGGGGCTTTATTCAACCAACTTACACGCTATATAACTTATTGGCGTCGCAATTATTTGCACAAGAAAGGGACACGAGTTAAAGTAGGTTATTGTTGATCTTTACAGTGTATTATATGTTCTGTTCTGGTGATCTTTCCCCCCTTATTTTTGGGTTGTAAATTAAGCTGTTTTCTTAATTTCTCATTTTCATGCTCTTTTCATCAACAGATGATTGAAGTCTGCCTTATTTCAGTAATTACTTCTGCAATTTCTTTTGGGTTACCACTTCTAAGAAAATGCAGCCCCTGTCCTGCTTCAGAAGTTGGATGTCCTAATCCCCCAGGAATGTATGGGAATTATGTAAATGTAAGTACTCTATCATCTTTTTCATTCATTGTACAGTGTAAATTCTGAAGCTTAATCCTGCTTTTTAAGCAAGTTCTTGGCATTTTTTTTTAAATAAGTCTATCAGGTTTACTGAAAATTCTCTCTAAAAATTTCTCAAGTGTGAAAATGACTGAAGTCAACACACCCTTATATAGGCAAAATGAGAAGGCGAAGGGTCACTCCCAAATTCAAAATTTGGGCGGGAGAATCCCTCGGCCTTTCACCGAGTGACACCTGTAGCAGGCCGTCGCCTGTTACGGTGCGACACCTGTCACAGGTAACACGTGACCAGTCACGTGCCACCTGTGAGGGGCAAATGATTAGGGGATTTTTATCCACCAATCAGCATCCGACACGTGGACCAGCCAGGTTTCGCCACGTGTCCTTCACGTAGGCCAATAGGAGCCTGCCACGTGTCATCAAGAGATTCGTCCTCCTTGGACTAATTGCGACGCGACACGTGTCCATTCATGCCATATGGGTAAATCAGCCGACAAGGCCCAATCTTTGTGGGAAGCCTAGTCAGCCTTAGGTTTAACCTAAACCTAGCACTGGCACGCATCCCAAGGCATATAAATATGCCCATTAATCCTCATTAAGGGGGGTGACACACATTTAACACTCTCACCTAGAGAGACCAAATTACTTTTATTTCCGCATTAATTACTCCTTAATCAAGTACTAACTTGACCGTCGGAGGCGGGTCTCCAATCATCCGGAGCATCCGTTTGTTTTGCAGGTACAGGCGTCCGGTTCCAGTCTCGGAATTGTAACTCTCCCGTAGAACACAAAAAACCCCGAAACAGTCCTATTGAACGATGAGGTATTATATCTCTATAAATTGTTTACATTTATTAAATTTACCATTTTTAGTTTTTATTAATTAATTTTATGATTAAAACAAAATTTTTGTGCTTAAGGTAGCTTAATCAAGTCATTCAATTAACTTAATTTTTTAATTTTTAATTACAGGGTGATTACTATACTTTCATGCCTCGATTAAAGCCAACATTGTTCAACACTTTCGTCCAAAATTCATTGAACGAAAAGTGTACTCCTTAAAAAAAATTTCAATGCATAGATTTGATTTTGTACAATTATAATTTTTAGATCAATTTCGCAACAATTTTTCACTTCTGGATAAATATATTGATTTATTTTATAAAATTGTAAAGATTATTTTATATCAATTTTGTTTTTGCTAAGTGTTCAATTTATCCACTTTTATTAGATGGAGTAGATATGTTGTGAATGAAATTGGTGATTCAATCGAAATAAATGATAAATAATGGAATACATGTTTTTATTATTTTTTAATAATGATTCTTATCTATATTTATGTGTATCTAATACTTTTTTTGTTATTTTTTTAATGTTCTTATCAAAATATTTATTATGGGGAATAAATTACATAAATTAATAAAAAAAGTATCCTTAACAAACAATAGCAAATTAATCTATGAGTATGATCTAATTACAAAAATTATATTTTTGTGTGATTTTAATATTTTATGTATAAAAATCGTGCATCGCACGGACTTTAAAAAAATTGTAGTCATGAAGATTAAGAAAGGAGAAAGATATAATATTTGGAAATTAAGAAAGTATAGCACTTAAAAAATGGAGGAAAAATTACTCCCTCCGTCTCAAAATTACTCTTATCTTTCGAAATGATTTCATTCTATAAGTTGTCATTCTGTTTTACAATTTTACACTTTACAACACAAATATGTGTGATTTTGCTCGATTGCAGTACTTGTACAGGGAAAAAAATAAAAAATTAGAATCAACAAAAATGTTCCAAGAATGCAGATAATGAACTCCAGCCTTCAGGAGATACCAAAACCTACACGATTTTAGAATTAGTGCTATTATTTATTTTGCACCAAAAGACCATTTAAAAGTGGTTGCTCCACATCTACACTTCTTGATACTGAGCCTCCGTTACGGTATTGAGCTCTGTCAAATTCACAAACAAGCAGAAAAGTTAAGAGAGCCAAAAGATGAGAAAGATTGTGACCATAAAAACCTTAGTCTTATAGCGGTGATAAGTAATACTATCCTTTTTTTCTCCTTGCAAGTTTCAACTCTACTCCAATTAGCTTCGATTTCTGGCCTAATAAAACCCAACTTTTCTCCACTGATATACAAAAATGAATCTGATTTTACTCATGTTAGACCACCTAAGATATATATTTTCAATTTATCATTAGACAATGTTATCTTCATGGCTCACCGTCCAGCTATCTCCCATGATGTGCAACACCAGGGACAGATAAGAGTTGGGCGGTGTCATGAAAGAAACTTGATTAAGTAGAGTACGTCACTTGTGCAGAAAACAAATTCTCTGCATTGTTCCAAGTAGAAGTTGGCATCAGAAGAGCAATGACAAGCTAAGTTCAGGACTCAGGACAGGTGTCAATAGGAGATCAGATGCACACAGTCCTAAAGTCCAGGGAGTTTTGTTCTCTATAGGAGGATAGAAAATTATGAGGAGCAGTGAACTCAGTGGCTCGACAAAATTTTTCCAATAAGGTCAAATTATTAAACATTTATTTAGCACAAGAATTCTATTCCACATTTCACATAATTTGTGAGCTAATAATCATGAAAGACTTCTCAACAGTAAGAGACCTTACACTAGTCGATTGGAGTTCTGTGTCCGACTCATCATCACTCTGCAATTAAAATCATAGTCTTCTTAAGCATGATTCAAGTAAATCAGCATAATGAAGAGACAAAAGATATGTCAATAACATACCTCAATTATCAAATCCTTTCGTGTTATTAGACCTAAAACACGCGAAGGCCGAGGGACAACCAATAAATGCCTTAATCCTAATTGACGGAATAGATTATACACCTGAACAAACCAGATGATGCAAGATTGTGAAAATTCATTTAACTAGAAACATGAAAACAGAGATGAAATTATATCTGGTAAGAAGTCAGAGCGGTTTACCTTTGTCAATGACATATCTTCAGGGACTATATACGGTGATGGGTTCAAAAAGGGGGCGAGATCTATGTACATATCTAAATCATCCTGGCTCAAATGAATATCATCAAGGCTAAGCCCTGTACTTGAAACTGGTTTGATGAATTCAGTGTTATTATGCCTGCAAAGAGGAAGCTTCCATCAGTTTACCAGTTGAACAATAAACCAAGGTCTAAGCAGCAGATTACAGGTTACCTTATCGGGAAGGATCCACCTCTTGAATCACTAGGCAAAGAGCTATGTTGGAAATCCACCTTGGACTGAAGAAGCACCAAAAAGTGACTGCGTTGGGCACATCACATCAATTCCGAGTTATTTTAAAGTTACAGATGCGCAACAAAATCAAAAATATAGAATAAAGGACAAAAGTGCTCAAGGCAAACCTCCGAAGCATCAGTCCTATAATGAGCGTCTCTCCACTCCTTGTGTGATCTATCACCTAATTGGCAGGTCAAACACGAGAATTAGTAGGCTAATTTTCATGGAAATGATGAAGCCATTGACTTATTTAACTTACAGGGAAGCCATTGTGCTTGTTGCATCTCAGAATAGAAACCGCATCTGAAACCTTGATAACACGAGGAAGACTAACAACCTTCAAGAATAATGTTAAAGCAAAAAGTTAGAGCACAACACTCCCAAAAACATATGCATGGCACATATTCTCGGTTGGAATACAAGGCAGAATCCTCATAAAGCACTGACCTTTCGAGTTCGACAACCCTCTTTTGCAGTCATCCTCCGCATTTGGTATTTCGGTCTTGAATCAAGCAAAGGGATACCCTTCAACCGAGCTTGCTCTTCATACAAGCCATCGTTGAAGGCATCACCAACAGCCTGCACATTATTTCAGAAAATCAATAATTTACACGGAAGATGACACCCATCCATACATATGAGCTATGTGCAAAATAATAATAAAAAAAAAAAAATTAAAATTTTGTGATGGTTCAACCACACAAGCTCAATTACCCAGAGCATACCTTTGATATAAGAAGAACTAGCATGATAAGGGGTAGAAACTTCAAATTATTCGAGATTTCAACCATGATGACACAAAGGGACACTGTCACCCGCATTGAGCCTCCTAAAAAAGAAGCAGCACCTAGAAGAGCATATCTGTAACAATAAAAGTCATATTGCATTAAAAATGCTGCATGAAGGGAGCCAAATACAGCCTAAGTTCTGCAAAGCACATAACTAATCACATTAAGTACAAGGTTCATTGACATGGATGCTCTCAACAAGAATATGAACACTCTTCCCAAAACATTGAGAAGTGTAAACAAAAGTAAATCCACCCAGTTATCCCATAAGCCTGCCTAAAGCAAGGTAGGAAGGTAAGATTTACAGGGTGCTACTACCATGAGGTAAGATACTCTGGTCACTAATTAATTAAGCTTGGAAAGTCACTGATTACTCTAGAACTCCATAGCACAGTGGTGAAAGAAAATTTATAAAAAAAATAAAAATAATAACCAAGCAATTCCAAAAGAAAATCAAGGGAGATATTTCCCTTTCTTGAAATCCACAACCAGAATCTAATTCATAGGTGTACCCATGATTCATATCAAGTAAAGCTGGGCATGGGCCGGGCTGGCATGCGGGCTGCCCAGCACGGCACGCCAGATGGCCCGGCCCGGCACGACACGGTACGTGGAACGGCTGGTGGGTCGTGGGCCGTTCCGTGAACAAGGAAATTGAAATTTGGCACGAGCACGGTGGGCGGCACGAACACCGGCCCGTCAGCACGGTCCGCCAAGCGCGATACTTTTATAATAAAATTAATATTTTTTTAACAAAATAATAAAGCAAATATTAAAAAAATAATAAAAAATAAATAAATGGGCGGCACGGGGGGGCGGCACAACACGGCACGCTAGGCACGTGGGCCGTGCCGTGGGCCGACTTGTGGAAATGACCGGCACGGCACGACCGTGCCAGCATGATGGCACGGCCCACGGCGGCACGGTGCCCAGCTTTAATATCAAGTAATTGCTAAAAGGATGGCTCTTAAACTACTTTTACACAGTAAAAATACGAAAATGAAAAGGATGGCTCTTAAAGATAGGTTACATACAACAACATCGACATCAACATGATTCAAACCACCAACATCAGCATAAACACATCAATGTCATCCCAAGGCCTCTAAATAGCTTCTGCCCTAGGGATAAAAGGGGATAAAATAAAATTGAAAAAAAAAAAAAAAAAAAAAAAACAGCTTCACTCCTCCAAAATCAATGTGCCTGATACCAATTGGCCTTTTATCAGATATGCCATGACCTTTAGGTACTCCACACATTGAAAGCAAATCTAATGATACTTCAATTTTTCTGTTGTTTATACAGGATATAGCGAAGAAGAAACAGACAGAAAGAATACTCACGTTCCCTCTTCTATGTTTGGCTTTTTATAGAAGCTGACGACAAACATGCCAACAAGACGGCCATAAGTTGACCCTATCATTATTCCAGGAACAAACTGACCAGCAGGAACAGCTGTTCCAAATGTGACCACTGCCAAAGTGTAAAACATAACCTACAAAGCACGGGAAAGACAATTAGTGTCAATAGGCAGCCAACTATGCACAAGTTGATATAAGGCACACTAACTTCCATCTTTGCTCCAACTAGTAAAATAAAACTTCAATTGCATTTTATCTCATTTGTACAACATATACCAAATTTGAAATTGTGCTAGCCCCGCAGAACATATTTTAATTGCAACTGAGCATTATAAACTATTTTTATGGCACCAGTAGGAAGGTATGGATAAGGCATAAGAGTTAATGGCTCCCAACTCATAATTTTAGGACTTATTCTATTCACCTTATTTTAACTTATTTCAAGAAAAATAAGTTCTGATAAAGAGTTAATAAGGGGTGGTTAAGTTCAATTAATAGCTAAAATAAGTTATAATTAGGTCTAACAAGTTTTGATAATTTTAGATTAGGTAAGCTTAGATAAGTAAAAATCAGGTGCATAGAATACACCCTTACTACAGCTGACCACACCCTTGGGAGACATATATTACTACATTTTTCAACATAGAGGGAGGATGGGGGTGGGATGTCAAGACTCGAGTGGTTGAAGGCAGCAAAACAGAGACTAATTTCAAAAAATAAATATAAAAAAAAAAAAAAAAAAAAAAAAAAAAAAAAAAAAATCTAACTCTTTTAAAACAACAAAAATAAAATGCACACTTCAAAAATAAAAATAATCTATGCATGAACCTCCTTGAAACAAACAAATATTAGTGTAAAGTTTATCAGATAGTAGCACATATTAATATATCTATTAGAATTATTATGCCCATCCAATATCAAGCAAGTTAAACAACACTAATTTGTGTAGGTTATAATAGCCAGCCAATGAAAAAAAGAAGGTTGTAGCCACAAATGGACAATGGTTTCCTGACCATATTTGTCACCTCAAGCACCTGGTATTTAATAGAATTAAAATAACCTCAACAATAGACAGAAAAAAAATACAATGTGCATTGGTGCCAAATTATCAATTAAATAAACAATTGATCAATGCCACATTTTGTTACAATTTTTTTCATATAATTCATGTTATGAAGAGAGAGGAAACAGGGAAATTAGGGTTCGTGTTAAGCTATAGATTTTTTAAAGTACCAACACCTTGGGAAAGCATTGTAATAAATTAAAAATGCCCCACACAAAAGTTTGCTTTTTCGAGACTTAGGCTCCATTTTACCATGCCTATTTTTTGCATAACTTAGCTTAGCTAAGCGTAATATTTGCTTAGCTTATATTTGCTTGGGAAAAAAAACATAACATTGCTGATACTTGATTAAATAAGTAGAGGAGAACGGAGCTTTAGAGGATTAGAATCCCCTACTCAAAAACAAAACTTATGCTCACAGCTTCAAACCAAGGGTGTTGAAAACATAAACAAGAAAACAAGACATACCAAAAAGGTTAACAAGCTCTGAGCACTGTATTCATGAATCGTTTTGGCGCTAAATAAATTCCTAATAGCATCATCCTGCATGTAAAACCAAAATCTGTTGGAAAAATGGATGAGCAGAAAAGCAACAGGTGAAAGTAGGAAGGCTTCCACATCATCTAAATCACCTGTGTGTTGAAGAAAATGGTAGCTAGATCATTGTATTCCTTGTTACTGCGACAGTAAAACTGTAAACGACAAAAATTATAAAACTAGGAGATATAATCAAAGGCTTTAGAATAATATGATTGAACAACAATACCATGCAGAGACAATCAACATCACCACTTAAGCCCTAGTATCTCTTACGGGATTCTGCTAGGCTCGCACAGTGCATCACCACTAGCACAATCATCCTAATCATCCTAATGATAGCTCCCTTAGACATCCTATGATGAATTGAAGATGGTATCCTCTCATGTTACTCAGACTCTTCACTTATACTCAATGAGTCAATCGGTACCTAAGTCTCAACACTAACATAATGTGGGCACTAATATTTAGTCTTATACTCAAAAACAAATAAATATAAATAGCAATCATATAACCCCCATGTTTGAATGCTTATTGCACCGACTGTGATAACTGTGAGTAACATATCTCCATTGCAACCATGATTCCATGGGGTCGGCTACACTAGGCAAGTAGGAAGAGTATGCAAACCTCTCTAAATTCCCTATCAAGGCTTAAAAACATAGCTTAATCAGCTCAAGGGTCATATTAATATTAAAATGGTTATTTTATTCACCTTCTTCACCAACATCTAGAAATCCTAGGAAGGAAGTACCCAATTTGTTCCTTTAGTTGGTTACACTTTCCGTTTTCATCCATTTCTTTTTGCTAGTCATAATCTTATTTCATTTCTATTTTGGAAAAACTTTTGTTCAAACCTTATTACTTCCTAAACCCAAAAATCTCACATGGAAGATGGACACTTTCTTTCCTACCTTTTCTTAAAGAAACCCACATGCAACACTCTCTCCTACTTTTTCTTACACAAAACCCATATGCAACACTCTACCTCCAGCTCACCTTGGTCTTTGAAACCAAAAAATTAAGAGAAGATGGAGTATGTTCTTTGGTAACAGGGAGTTGTGTTTCAAAGAGGTTTATCATCGCTAAGGTCTCTAATGTGATTTTAATGGTTCAAACTAGACAAACTAATTACTCCTTACAATGCACTGATTCAACATATGACAAATACCACCACAATTACCCAATTTCACCCACAAAACTCCTTTACAAACACTTAACCGAAAACCAAAAAATAAATAACAAAATGAAATTTAGCACTCCAACAACTTTTAGCCATAAATTCAATAAAAAGCTAACACACAATATCATAACAAGAGATAAACACATCAATAACCCAATACATTGTAAATTTTACACCCGAGACCATGATGCTCATCATGGTCCCAAATGAACACGTAGTAAAATTATCAACATTCAATTAGTAAATTATGGACATTTAGTTCATAGATTATGAACATTTAATTTCTAAAGCTCAAACAATATGAACAGTCAGTTCATAAATTACGATTACTTAGTTCATTTATTATGAAAATGCAGTTCTTATTTCACCGACCCCAATAAACATATATGTTCAAAATATTTGAGCTATATGGGCATTGTAGTCCTGAGGGAATATTATAATTATTGCAATATATAGCTTTATCAAACACATCTACATCACTTTAATATTGACATATCAAGCACCTAACAAGAATTTCATAAAAATCTACATAACTTACAGAATGTAAATTTTACAAAAACCATCTGGAATCCATCCCAGCCCTAACTTTTTAAAACCAGAACCGACTGTATAGGCAATTAATCGCAAATCCGATTTTGGGCACCCAAATCAGGAACTCTATTTGGTCATGGAATCGGCTATCCAATGTATGATGATATGTTTGAATCCCAAAACAGAAACAATTGCTAAAGCCCAAAATTCTATATCATATCTAACTTACAACTTTGAATTTGGGATTTAAATACTAAAAATTGATGTTATTTTACTAGGTTAAATATAATAGAATGCCAATAACTGGAGATGTCAAATGATTTTGATTATGGTTCCAATTTTTATGAGCAGATTTGATAGCAAATATTGGGAATTTGATCAGGTACCCAGTTCTTGCTCAACCCACTGAGAGAATGGAAATTATTTTAAACCCCTCTCCACCTATTCACCTTTTTCAATATTTTCTTGATATACATATCTAGTAGAACAACAAAAATAAAATAAAATGGAGGAATCCTTTTCCTCGTGGACTGGTCCTTTTCTCCCTTTTCTGATCATACAACTTCCAAAAAAATAAATTGGGAAAGATAGTTCCCATAAAACTCACTAATGTCTACAATCAATTCACTTCTACTTGTGCACAGCATATCAGCAAGTAAGGAAAAGCAAGCAATCTTTTGTTTGAATTTTTCTATGGTGCTATCTTTTTCAAAAAAAATTACATTGTAGGTTGTATCCTCACTTTTATACAAGTCTCGAGTTCTCAACAGTACCCTACTTTTAAAACCACAAGGTTAACTTTGAGACTTTTAGTAAAAGTTAGGGTTCAGCATAGATTTATACAAAAACAGGTACACACCATAAAAACCCTTTGGTAGTTTGCTAAAAAAAAAAAGAAAAGAAACGAGAAAGAAAAGCGCTACACATGCAGTAATTGCATGGTAGCAAGAAGTGCTTAGATCACCAAGATACCAAGAGAGATTAATAACTAGAAGCAGCCATCATATCTCCATGATAGGTAATATATGTATGACAAGAAACCATTAATTAATTCATTCTGGCTCATAGAAACTCAGTTATCAACATAGAAATCTTCTTAAATCATAGTTGCAGTAAAAACATTCGGACCCCTGAACTTGCTCTGACATTCCGGACTCTTTCTTCCTACCGCCTGCTCTGACAAGCCGGCTACTCAGAATTTTCAGAACTCCGTCAACTTCACTCGTTCAGGTAACCGTCGGTTCTCTTACTCTTAATTTTCTCTTTATTTTATTCTTTTTTGAAATGGCACCACGGAAGCACACGACACGACCTAGGTTAGTGATCAGCCGGTCACCGGGGACGGTTGAATCTAGGACTAGGAGTGCCGCCTGCCCTTTTCCGGACCTATCTTTGCCCTTTATACAAAGTCCGACTGTCTCTGTGTCTATGCAGAACATAATGGCCAGAACAAAAAGTACTGCTATGATCTCGAACTCAGACGGCTCCTCCCACAGGGTGCCGATTAGTGAGACATCTGACCAGGCGCCAGATGCGGAAGTGAACCAAGGCGGCTTGACCGCCGACATCTCTGAGGGAGGGATCAAGGTGTTCCCTTCCCATTATACAGTTGACATGTCCACATTCTCTCCTACTCCTATTGGAGGAGAGGAGGCGGGCTCCTCTGGGAGAGGGGAGGAGTCATCCACTTCGGACTCGTCAAAGGACGAGTCCGAGTCTAGTTCTTCTGGTCATGCTTCCTTAGACACAAAAGAGAAAAACAATCGCCTACAAGAGGCGAGACTTTCTCATGCAGTTGAGAAGGGGGACAATTGGGCGGAGCCGTCCGCCTCTTACAGAGAGCAAAACACCCCCTATTACTGTACAGTCCCAAAGGGCCGGATCATGCAAGAGAAGGTGGGGAGCTTTATCGCGAACCACACAATGGGCCCCTGCTTTTTAGTTTTTGTGCCGGATCCAGAAGACACAGTCGTCTGGCCGGCTGGTACTAGTTATGATAGCGCCTGTTTTGGCTGCTATGAGGCGGCCATCAGGGCTGGGCTGCGCTTCCCACTACATCCGGCTGTTCAGCGGATCTTGGATGGGTATGAGTTGGGGTTATGGCAGTTAGCCCCAAACTCCTGGTTTAACGTACTCGGCTATGTGGCCGGGTGCGAACTGCACGGGGTGGAGCCAAACTTTGAGGCTTTCGCCCACATGAACTACCTCAGCCAGACCCCTAAGGCAGGCGGTACCGGCTGGTATCAATTGACGAGCCACCGTGGCTACCTCATGACAAGAGGTAAAGAGAATAAGTGGAAGGATTGGCGAAGCACCTTCCTCATTATTGAGAGTTTAGACACAGAGCTGAACAAGCGCTTCAACAGATGGAACCGGGATCCGCCTCTTCTTGCAGGCGGCCGCAGCATGCCGCATGTTCCCCCCAAAGCCAAGAAAGAGATTCTGGATAAAGGACTCTTTAAAGTAGAGTCGAGGGTCGACTCTACTACAGGGGTGCGAGTGCAAGTGCCACTGCACTGCGTCCCGAGCTTTAAATGGCTCTATGACGAGTACTTTTTGGCCGCCTGTGGCCTCAGCAGTCGGTGCTCTAGAGGTAGCCGGCCTGTCGAATACTCTCTTTTGCCTTGCATTACTGTTATCTGTTATTAACCTTTGTATTTGTTCTTGTAGAGGACGCCATGAGCAAAATTACCGCCTCTAAGACAGCGGCTACCATGTTGCGTGCTTCCATCATGCAACAGTCCTCTGCCGACTCCCCCAACAAGGAGGCGCCCTTGGTAAGTTCCAAGCCTCTCACTCCTTTTTGAAGTTAAGAGTTTATGCAAATACTGACCGAGTGCTTCTTTTTTTTTTTTTTTTAGACGGGCACTCCGAGAACATCTTCTTCCCAACAGCCGGACTCCAAGACCCGGAGGACGGCTGTTGCGAGCTACCTGGTACTGCCAGGAAACATGCGGTGGCTGAGAAACAACCGTCCACTCCTTCTCAAACTCCAATCAGGCCGCCTAGAAGTATGAAGCTTTCCTTGTGAATTTAGACTTGCTCCCTTCTTTAATAGGTCTAACCCGTTTGTTTATGCCTGATGCAGCCGGCCTTCAGGAGCCAGACTTGGTCAAGGTGGCCAAGTCTATGATCAAAGTCGTCCCTCCGGCTGAGAGGGAGGCGGTCAGGGGTGTCGGCACCCTTGACCTGGACGGGATTGCAGGGGTCCTTGCTGAGGTATACTTAGCATATTCTTGTTATTTAAATTCCAGGACGCCTGTTTTTTGTTTGAAAACCGACGCATGTTCCCTCTTACTTAGGCCCTGCTCCGAGTAAACGGCCTTCGCAAGCCGCTTGACAGGAAGAACAAAGAGGTAAAGGCTGCAAAAGCTATGGCCGCCTCTGACTGTGATAAGGCAATGTTTCAAATTGCCCAAAATGAGATTTTGACAACTGATATTCTTTATTATCAGGCGCAGGCTACTTCTGCTATCCGGGCTCAG